TGCGTCTGAGCCGGTGCGACCAAAGGAGCCAGCTGAGCCCCCAAAGACCTCAGTGTGCGTCACCCGTGGCAACGCCACCAAAGGGAAAGCTCCAGCTGGGGCGCCTGCAGGCCACTGCCAGTGGTGCTGGAGGAAGCTTGGCAAGGCGGCTGCAGCCCAGGACCAGCATACCTACAGCAATCTGCACTGCATCACCTGGCAAATGTACGAAAGCCAGAGCCCTCCCCGCCAGGACTGGCGAGCGGCGCAAAAGGCTGCCGAAAGGCTCAAAAGGAACCGGGACAACCAAATGTACCCTGAGCGCCAGAGCCAGCCTGCAGCGTCCGCCCACAAGGCGAAGCAGGAGGAGCCGGACTGCAGCCAGCCCAAGGTCAAGCGCGCTGCTAGCGCAACCACCACTCGGCGCAAGAAGAAGGACAAGTCCAAGCGCAAGAAGGACAGCAGCTCTCCTGGCAGCCCTTCGCCAGCGCCGAAAAAGAAGAAGGAGAAGAAGAAGAAGAAGAAGCTGTCTTCTTCGGAGTCGAGCGCTGAGCCGCGGCAGAAGAAGCGCAAGGGGTCCGGCTCACTGCAGGGCAAGATCATCATCAACATGTGATGGCCCCTGGCCTATGGCTGCGCTGCTGCTGTGGCGCGATCTGCATCGCTGCTCGCGAGCTGGCGGCGCGATCCGCGTGATCGCAGCTCGCAAGCTGGCGGCGCGATCTGTGCGATCGCTGATCGTGAGCATGGCAGATCTCCTCCCGCCGAGGAGAGGATTTTTAGACCCATGGCCAATGGCTTTGTACAGCTTGTCTACAGGCATAGGCCGGACTCCAGACTCCATGCGTGGGCAAGACAAAAAAAGCGCGCTTCGACATGTTGGCTCGGGCAACTAAGAGAAGTCATTTCTTGTTTTTATTGTCCACACTTGAAGTGCGCACTCTGTTTGGCGGTGCGTGCTCTTGGCTCGGTTGCGCGTGCTGTTCGGCGTTGCGCGGCCGTCTGATTTCGCTGTACGCGGATTGTACGCGGAATGTACGCGGCTCCGACGATCCTTGGGGCCCAATGTACGCGGGAGGAAAGGATGGGCGGGCCGCGAATGTACGCGATGTACGCGGATGCGACAGTCACAGGGATCGTGGGTTGGCCTTGGCAAGAATTGCAGACTTTGTTTTTGTGCGCGATGTACGCGGGCCACCGGCCAATGTACGCGGATGTACGCGGATTGTACGCGGCCGCTCGCTTCTCTGTGATTTGTTGCGATCTTGTGTGAGTTGCGTTCGCCTGCACCTTCCGCTATAGCTCACTGTGTTTTGCCCGGCGCTGTTCCGTATAGCTGTTTGGCACAGTAGGTGTAGCGGGGCCCCGTTTTGTTTTCTTAGCGCTTTTCGCGGCATGGCAGCTGTCAATGATGGCCACAAGGCGTGCACCTTCTGCCGCCGCGAGCTGCCAGCTAGCGAGCTGAAGGATCACGGCAGGCGCGTCCTTTGCCCCAGCTGCAACACGGTCGAAACCATGTTGCGGCGCAATCTGGACGGAAAGCCGGAGCACATGCCATCCGTTGATGACGCGGAGTCGGTCAAGTTCTTCGCGCACTTGGCGGAGCAGCGCCAAGCGTGCGGCGGTCGGCTGAATTGGACCACTGTTCGCGCTGGCCTGATCACTGCAATCAGCGACAAAATCATCGAGAGCCACACCACGGCAGTCGGAGGCGTGTTCAAGCCGAAGTCTGTGTGGGGAAAGAAAAGGCTACACGACGCAGCAGATCGAAGAGTCCCCACACGAATGGGACCCTATCCTGGGAGACACGTACGCGGTGATGCTGAAGTCCGTGTGCCGACAGACAACCGTGCAGAACGTGACGAGCGCTGTGCTCGAACACGAAAAGCGAGCCACCGCCAAAAAGAACAAAAAGCCCAAGGGCGGAGCTCCTGCAGATGAAGAGGCCTTGGATCTCGATCTCCCTCTGCCCCCGAAGGCTGAGTGCAATAGCACGAAGTCTGTCACAGCGGAGCACAAGCGACAGGCGCAAGTGGCTAAAAAAGTCGCGAGCCAAAACACCAAAGCCGCAGCGCTGGCTGCGAAAGCCGTGAGCTGCCTCCACCCGGTTTGCGCCGCGCTGGAGAAGTCTTTGGCCTGCGTGGCCAAGCGTCCCTCGGACGCAAGTCGGTCTGGTCTTGAGCAAGCGTTGACCGACAGCAAGGCAAAGCTTACATGCTGGCTGGCTGCCTGCCGGGATCTTCTGGTACAGCACGAGCAGGAGAAGCCATCCCAGGAGCCACAGGCGCTCGCCTCGCTTCCCTTCACGGCCGATGATCTCAAGCCCGCTTTGGCTTGTGCGCGAGAGGTGCTCAAGTCTGTTAAAGTCAGTGCGCCGGCACGCAAGCGGGCGGCGCCCGAGCAGGGGGATGGCCCTGCAGACGTGTCGGCGCAGCCGAAGCGTCGGCGCGCAAAGTGAGGCGGGGCTTTTATAAAACGCATGTCGCAATAATTCAGCACGTTTGCTTTAGTCCTGCGTCTTGTGGCGTGACTGCGCCGATGCAGGTGTTGCCTGGATAGCGTGTTGTGTAGACGCGCGCCGGCGCCGCAAGACTTGCATTAGCCTGGGTATATAGAGAAAAGTCATCGCAGCTCTGGCAGCTTTGTGCCGCGCTTTTGGCGTTTCGGTAAGGGCCGCAGTCTGTGGTATAGCTCAGTCCCCTCAAGCAATAACCGCTGCAGAGGATGCCATTGGGTTTAGGGTCATGAAGCGAACGTGTCTGCATGTTGGGCTTGTCACACTACCCTCAAAGCGAAGACCTATACATACAGCGTTTGCTTTTCGATTTTTTTTGCTGTTTCTCAAAAGCTATGGCCAAAAGACCACGTGATCCTCGCAGCACCGCCAGTGCCGCAAGCCAGTTCCACACGCTGCGCCAGATTCCATCCATCGGCCCGGCTCAGTGTCGCCAGATCGTTGCGGTGCTGGACGCGGATGGGCGGGGCACACGCGTGCAGCAACGACGTGATGAGGTGCATGGCGAGGTGATGGAGCACCTTCAGGTCATGGACCTGCCGGCCAAGGATCCCGCATCCAAAGTCCAAGTCAGCTACATGTCTGTAGCCGGCGTGCTGCAGGCTAAGTGCAACGCTTGTCCACTGTTCCATGACTGCCTCCGCGCAATAGCCCAGGAAAGGGACAACCAGCTGACGCTGGTGGTGTACCTGGACGAATGCACGCCTGGGAATGTGCTCTCTCCCGACAATGCTCGGAAATCCAACCTTACGTACTGGACCATCCTCCAACTGCCGCATATTTACCTTGAGGACACTTGGCTCACCTTGTCCGTGAGCCGGACGTCAGAAATCAGTGCTTTGCGGCATGGCATGGTCACTCTCGCTGCGGCGCTACTGCGAGCTGTGCGGGCGGAGACAGTCAGCGGTGTCCCGGTGGAGCTTTCTGGCTCGGCGGAGCTCCTGTTTTTCGACCGCGTGCTTCTTCTCGCAGACCACGAAGGCCTGCGCGCTGCCACTGGCTGCAAAGGATCTTCGGGTATGAAGCCATGCCTGAAGTGTGCCAATGTTATGAACACTGGCTACGGCAACGTCCGATGGCACGTGACAGTGGCCGAGCCAGACATAACAAGCTTCGTGCCACAGACTCAAAACAGCCTCCGCGCTGCGATTGACCACCTGTCAACCATGCCTACGAAAACTTCCCTCGGCGAGGCCGAAAAGCTCCTGGGCTGGAAGCTGGAAGAAGCTTCTGCCTCTTTTCTTCTTGCTCCCGACATGCAAGAATGGTGCGAGCTAGATTCCTGCACGTTTGACGCAATGCACGCGCTTTGGTCCAACGGCATAGTGGGGCAAGAGCTGGGCTACTGGTACACAGCCCTGCGCCGCAAGGCTAACCTCAGCCTCACAGACATGCGGCGCTACGTAGAGCTAGGCTGGCATGGAGTCGGGCGGGCGCGGGGCATAAACCTCTTGAGTCTGTTCACAGTCCACCTTTGGAGGGAGGGGGCCGACTTTCGAGGAGATGCGGGCCAAGCGCTGTTTGTGCTTTCCATTTGTGTGCAGTTTAGCGAAGACATTGCCATTGGCCTCTGCGCAGACATGCGCCGGGAGCACTCCTCTCTTGAAGCGTTGCACCGCGTGTGCTTGTGCGTCCTCGAAACGAAGCGCGACACTGCCCATGGCTCTCATCTGGCTCGGCTGCAAGCTGAGCACATCAGAAGCTTTGCGGCTGTCTACGGCGCTGATAAGGTCCGGCCCAAGCTGCATTATTCCTTGCACTTGCAGCAGCAGTGCTGGAAGTGGGGTCGCTTGGTTGACTGCTTCACTTGTGAGAGAAAGCACCGCGCTTTCAAACGTGTCGCAAGAAGGCAACAAATGCTAGCACGCTTTTCCCAGCAGTGCTTGCTCGAGTTAGCAAGCGCTGAACTCCGCTCCAAGCAGCCAGCCAAGAGGCTTCTGTGGCGCCTGGACGGTCGGACGACTGAGAACGTGGACGTCGGCACTGCGCTGGGCGCCACTGCTCCAGCCACCCTGGCCCCGCGAGCTCTTGGCCCAGACACAATCTCAAGAGGGGATGTTTTGATCCCCTCCCCTGCGGAAGCCTTTGAAGTGCTCGGGGTAACCTCCGTGGACTCGCGCATCCTTCTGCTGATCCACGTCTTGGAACCAGCAGACCTTCATTTCAACACGACCCGGTCGGGACGATCGAAATGGACACGCGCGAGCACGCTTAGATTGCACGCTGTCCATATAGAACCTGGAAGACGTAACAGCCCTTAAAAAGTGCAAACTTCCCAAACAGGCCTTAAAATTCATTGGGTTTTCCACTTTAAGGACCGTTTAGATTTTTTTAAGGCCTGTTTGGGTTTTTAAGGCCTGTTTGGAATACTGGTTTTTTGTACTTTTTCTAGTAGAGCGCACGAGTCACTATTTAGCCTATCCTACCTACATTTGGCATTTTGCACTCCAGCTAGTCAATGCGCAGAATAGAAAGAAAAAAGTATACGCCGCAGATAAGCCCGTTTTTACACACAGCTGGCCAAGTGCTTGCTCAGCTCCTGCTTCACTAGAAGCATGTGCCGCTGAAGCAAGTTCTCGCAACAGGTCCTAGGCGACATCCTACGAAGCATGCGAAGATTGGTTTTCACCCAATCCTCGTCCAGCCAGCAACTATCCCAGCCAGGATTGCGATGGCTAGGTCTGTCTGCAGCATCAGAAATGATGTGCTGCAGGATATGAAACTTGGGACGCAGCTTAAAGTAGTAGTCCCTACGGGAAGAAGCTAAGTGGGCCAGCTGCAAGTACGAGGACAAGAATGCATTCCCACAAAGCGAGATTTTCTCGACTTCCGCAGGGTTAAGGAAGCAGCTGCCACGAGTGACGGCTTCTTGAAGCATATTGGCGCTGTACAGGCACGCAGACAAGCCCTCGTACGGCGGAGGGGCTGCCTTCAAGCTTAGCTTGTAGGCTAAAAACCGTACCATAACAGCGGCATCCGAAGCCGAGCTTTTGTACTCTGGGCAGACATCTGCGCCAGCCCATCCAAGGCGAGACGGTTTAATCTGCTGAAGGTGCATCTGCAAGCCGCGCTGCTTCTTGAAAAGGTTGATGTCGCGCTGAAGTTGTTTGAACCTCTGCGACAAATTCGGGCCAGGCCAAAACTGCGTTTTCAGGCATATCTTGAGACATGATCCTATCAAGTCACGAGCCACACCTAAATTCCAGGTGTGCATGAAGTCTGCGCTGACCATGCGTAGAGTGAAGTTGGGCATCTCGCTGAGCGGCGGAAGCTCAAAGTACGGAGGTGCAGCAGGCCCCTCACGCCAGCCCGCTTGCGGGGAAATGTCAGTGTAGACCGTGCTGATGTCCTTGCGGCCCATAGAAGCGGTGCAGCGAAAGCACACCTGGAGCCAGCAAATATCAAAACGTTTGCTTCACAGCCTGCATGTCGCATATCTCGCTAGGTGGTAAACTATAGCAAGCTAGGCCTATTTTTTAGACATACAAACCTACTGCAAGCCAAGCACCTCCTCGCAGCCTGGAAACCGCGAAAAGTTCATGGCTTGCGCCAAGTACTTCAGGTCCCCCTTCACCGCAACCACGTGCAGAGTGAAAACCTAGCAGCAAAAAAACAAAGCCAAAACTCAAGTTCAAAACCATATGCAGGTTAACTGAGCCAGGGCGCTTCATTCTCTACCTGCAGGCCTTGGGCCAAAGCAACGAAGTCTTGCTGCACAGCACGCAGAAGAGCTTGCAAGGTCTGGTTCACCTTTTGGTGGATCATGTAGGCGTTGGTCGGGCAAGCGAACACTATGTTGCGCGAAGCCTTGGAGTTGTGCCGGAGCAAGCTGACATCGACCATCCTTGGCAAGCATAGATGACATCACCCGCGCATGACTCAGAAACATTTTTCTATATTTGACCGGGACTCCAGCTGCACAGCATCCACGAGTGCCTGTTGCTGGTGCCCTCGTCGCCCCACAAGACTATGGGGATCGCCCGCTCAAGGTTCTCCTCAGGCTGGTCGCAAAGCTCATGGCGAGGATAGTCCAGCAGCATGTGCTGCCAATAGAGCCGGAGGTGGGACCGGTCAACTATGACCTGCTGCAGCAGTTTGGAGGTTAGCAGGGCGCTGGCCACAGCTGACGGCAGGAGCACGGGGAGCTGCGAGATATCAACCTCATCCTCTTCTGTGCATATGGGGCAGTCCACCCACACAGGGCGCACATTGAGTGCAAAGCCTGCCCCGGCAACGCGGCGGTGGAACTCGCCTTCCCGCAGCGAGCGCGAGTTGTAGCCAGACAACACCGGCGAGCTGTATATGTCGCCTCAATTGATTGTCAGCACAGGCACGCAATATAGCACACTACAATATTTGCAAGCTAAGCTAGCTAGCACAATCTACTCACCTACTAGCTCACCTAGTATAGAACCTATCCTACAGCGGCAAATTAAACGCCATGTGGCCCAGCTCGGAGGTGACCGTGATCGTGGCATCTCCCGCAGTGGCAGCACCTGCCAGCCTGACCGCCCGCAAATAAGAATGATGTGAGACCAGTGCTGCACGCACAGGCCTCAAGTCCAACTTGCCCTTCATTGAACTCAAGGACCCCGGGCCATATGTACCTGCAGGAAAGCAACATCAGGCAAATTTGATCGAAAGAAAGTCAAAAAGGACACAGCACGCGTTGAACTCACAACACACTTTTCCACTCGCCGCCAGCCCCGCATATATAGGTCGCCTATAATAATGACTTCCTAGCTCGCGCTATCTTTGAAATGCGTTGATACCTAAAGCTAGCTTGTGCCTAAAGATCTGAAAACAGCACACTGCGTGGCTCTATCGGTTCTATATCGCTTGAGGCACAGCCAGGCTAGCTAGCCACTTAGGGCGAAACTCCAAAAGTCCTAGCTATGTAGGAACCTACCGGGCCTACCCTACCGCTTCTTGAGCTCCGCAAGAAGGCCCTTGCTCTGCCCCTTGATGAGGCGCAGCTTGTCAACCTGAGCCGCGCAAGTATATGAATGTCAAACACACTCGGCAGAAAATCGGCCAAGTTACGGCCACAGCGATGTCGGCGCAGATCGGGGTGAGCTCCTCGAAAGTGGCGAGGCCAGAGAGCCTCAGCGCAACAATTAGACTCGCATCCAGTGAAGCACAAAAAGCCGCCGGGCAGCTGGGCGTTCAGCGCAGTCAGCTGGCCCTGGCTGTCCCGAAGCGCCCCCGCAAGCTCTTCCGCGCACTGCGGCATGTCCATGAGGATGCCAGCCACGTCCTTCAGCTCCTTCTTCACTTCGGCGCCTGAAGTACGGCGGCGCAACAAAAGATCGACGGTGCGTATGAGGCCGGAGCTGTAGCGAGCTGCCTTCTCCTTGGGCGTGTTGAAGGTCATCTCAGAGAGCGCCTTCTTCTCGGCGCGGTTGACCTTAGAGCCAGACGTCGAGCCCCGTGCCGACAACGCCGCAGCCTTTGGCTGCGCAGCCGGAGGTCCTGCAGGGATTTTGGTTGGCTACAAGCCTATCTAGCTACACATAGCTAGCTAGGTGCCTATCCTCTATAGCGACTTATTTTGGCTATGCCTATACCTAGTAGGAGATCGATGCAGCGCCTGCCGCCTGCTGCTCGTTGTAAGCGTCGTGGGCGCGCAGGATGTCACCAGACAAGCCAGCCGCAGCCGGCTTTGGGGCACCAGCTCTCAGCATGCACGGGTCCAAGTTGAGGGGATCCAGGATCGTTTCCATGGCCGCCTTCATGGGCCGGGCGTTGACCCGCATGGTCTGCAAGGTCCTGATCAACATCAACAAGGATTTTGTCATTTAAGCGTATTTTGTGCTGCTGAGCAGCTCCATGCTGGTGGTGTCGGTGCGGGACTGGCTGGCCAGCACCCAGTACCTGGTCTCTTCGAGCACGCCAGGAGCATCCTCATCCTCAATGCCCTGACCTTTGGCAATGATGGCGTCCACCTTGCGCCTTAGATGTTTCTAGATAGGTCTCACCATATATAGGTAGGCCTAGTTCTCACTAGCTATATAGGTGTAGGCCTATCCTAGTAGAATAGAAATAGGTTGTAGCTGGAGCTATCAGAACCAAGCGGCTGGCTGAAGTTCCAGGGCGGCTTCATCATGTCCTTCACAGGAACCAGCTGGTACTGCTTCTCCGCCTGCAGCTTGCACTTCTTCGAGGCCTCGATCGCGACCTCAGCGGCCTGCAGGTTCTCGCCTGTGCTCACCCAATGGGTCAGCAGCTGTCGCCGATCCTTGGTGTGTTTAGCACTTGTTTGCTACCTTTTTCTGTTTTCAGTTGAGGCACCTTCAAGGTTCCACAGGCCAGCGCGTGCATGTTGGGGAAGTCGGCGAGCTTCCCAGTGTTGTACATGCGCATCTGAGCGCACACAGCACGCGCAACACATTTTGGATATTCACACATGTGCGTGCGAACTAAATTCCAGCACTAGCAGTGCATGCGCATATATAACACACCCACACACACACATGCACACGCAAACACGCACACACAAAAGCACACACACACCACACACACACAACACACACGCGCACACACAACACACAGGCGCACACACACACACACATGCACATGCAAACATGCACACAGCAGGAAGCAACAATAACTCCTAGGCTTAGCCTACACATCCTACACTAGCTATAGAGTAGGAGAATAGGAGCTCTACCCTATATAGATTCTACTATGTGTTTGGTTGCAGCCTAGCTGCAAGCCGGGCGTGCTCCTTCCGGTGCGTGGCCGTGGTCACCGCAGCAGCCGGCCCAGCAGTGGCCGCGCCTGAGCTGGAGCTGGGCGCCGCAAACTGCGGCTGGGCCGGCGGCGCAACAGCAGTAGCACGTGCAGAGCTGGTCGAAGGCGCCTTGCGCTCCGGCTGTGGCGGGGCTTGTTGCGCCCACACAGGGATCTGGCCAGGAGCCTCCTCAACCTCGTCCTGCTTGGCCGGGGCCTCCACCAGCTGCAGCTCCAGCGCTGCCTCCAGCTCCTCGTCCAAGCCAGCTGGCGAGCTGGCCTCGGACAGGGCCTGCTCGTCTTCCAGGTCGGCAAGGTCGGTCAAGTCCACTGCTGCTGCAGCGGGCTGTTTCGCCTTCAAGAAAGCCTCCTCCAGCTTCGGTTGCTTGTTGGCCTGCGTTTTTTCTGATTTTAGAGCGGCAGCGATCCAAAAAGTTTCACACCCGCACCTGCAAATTGCCCTCAGGGGCCAAGCGTTTCAGCGGCTTGTTCGGCACCAGCTTGGGCAGGTCCAAGTCATCCACTTGCTTTGAGGCAGCTGGCTGGCTTGAACAGGCAAGGCCCTGCAAGGCTCGGATGATTTCATCCAGTTGCCCCTGGCCAGCTTCAGAGACACTGGGGCCCACCGTCAGCCTTGGATGGAGCAAACCATTTGTGCAACCGCCGCGTGCGCGAAAAACACACAAGATTGCCTGCAGCCAGTAGCTGGTCAAGGTTCTCTTGCGACTTCTTGCGCTGCAGGTTTGCCGCTGGAGTCTGCGCTTGCAATGCGCGAAGCTGGTCCACCGCCATCTGCAAAGTGCCACAAGACCTGAATTCGGAGAAAAACAAAAGGCGCCTAGAGTCCCTGTTAGGCTATGAGCACGCCTACCCTACATAGCCTATGTAGGTCCTACCTACCTACCTACCCTACAGGCGCCTATACGCTGCCAAGCCTAGGAAATTTGAGAAGCTAAGTGGCCAAAGGCTGTCGTGCTGGGACTCGTTGTCCGGCTGCGTTTCCAGGACTGGTTGAGGCGGCGTGGCTGGCACAGTGTCCGCGAGCAGGTCCGGTTCACGAGGCTGAGCGTCTGTGAGCTCCTCAGCAGGGGGAACAGCAGCGGCTTGAGAAGGTGGGGCTGCAGCTTGAGCAGGTGGAGCTGCAGCTGCAGGGGCAGCTTTTGTCTTAGCTTTGGCTTTGGTCTTGGCAGCAGGTTTGTCCACTGCAGCTGCCTTGCGCTTGGTGCTGCTCTGCCCTGAAGGCTCCAGGTCCTTGCTTTTTGCTTTGCCCTTGGCTTTTGCTTTCGGCTTCGCTGCGGCGGCATCCTTCTCTGCCTCCATGTGGGCCGCGATCTTCAAGATCTCCACAGCGTCCTCCCTGCTGAGGCTTTCGCCTTGCATGAGAGCCTGAATTTCCGCCTCGTCGAACTGGCCGAACTGCAGGTCCGCCATGGCGCCGAGCTTGCCCTAACCTACCAAGCAGTCCTACCTAGCTAGACCTAGCCAAAAATCACAGCACAACATGCGTTTTCACAAGAAATCACGAAAAATCACGCGTTTTCACGCGTTTTCAAAATTCACGAAAATTCACGTTTTTACACACCTTTTGGGCCGAAATAACGGCTGTTTGCACACTTTTCACGCGCCAGTGCGGCCAGTCGGCGGCCTAAGGTCAGTGCAGCCTAGTTCCCCCTAACAAGCTACAAGCCCTAAGCCTACCCGAATTAGCCTACAAAGGCCATCAGCCAGCTGGAAGGCCGAAGTTCCTTGGCCAGCACACCAAAAAGAAAAACGGAAGCAAGAAACAACCAGCTGACATCAGCAAGCCAAGCTGCGAGCGCATCTGCTCCACCAAGTTTTCCTGAGCAGCAAGCATTCAGACTGACCTGGCCTGCCTGCTATGCAAAAACCAAATTGGCAAGACATGCAATGCGATACTTGCGAGTGATGCGCAGTTTTTTGGCCTCTAGGGCAACGCTCCGCGAGTTTTGTGCAGCCAGGCGCCTTCGTGCCAGCCTAGCTTCTGTACAAGCACAGCCTACAGAGCCTAGAGCCTACTAGTACGAGCTGCCTACCTAGAACCTACCTACCTAGGCGCAGCTACGGGCGAGGAGCGCTCTGGCCTTCCAGCTGGCTCCCGCCGCCAGGCAGCCCAAAAGCCTGCACTCTGTTCAGGGCGCAGAAGTAGCCGTCCCACCAGGACTCTGCAAGCTCCCAGCGGCGCTGCTCGACGGCTGTGTCAGTCCGTCGAGCAGCGCGGTCTGTCCAGGCTTGAGGTTTGCCACCCTTGCCGTTGCCAGCTGGTGGGCCGGGCTGGGCAGCTCGGCGTTCTGCCCACTCCTGCCAGACCTGGTCAACGTGCACGTCGTCAGCGTACATGTGCACGTTACTGCGCAGCCCAGGGGCCGGCTGCGCAGGGTGGTAGGGACCCGATCCGGCAGGCCGCCAGGACTTGGGCTGCTCGCGGGCGCTGGGCTCACAGCTGGGCTCGCGAGGGCTCTCGGTTTTGCGAGGCGTCTGCTGAGGGGTGGTCTGCACTTCGGCATGCTGCGAGGCTGGCGCCAGGCCAGGAGGTGCAGGAGCCTTGCTGTCGACGTCCTGCTCGTGGTGCGTGTTGGGCTCGCACTCGCGCTCGTTGGGCTCGCCTTTGTTGCGGTCGTCCTTGCCGAAGTCGCCCTTGTTGCGGTCGCCCTTGCTGAGGTCGTCCTTGTTGAGGTCGCCCTTGCTGAGGTCGCCCTTCTGGTCGCCTTTCTGGTCGCCCTTGTGGCGGTCGCCCTTGCCAAGGTCGCCCTTGTTGAGGTCCTGCTTGTTGAGGTCGCCCTTGCGCTGGTCGTGGTCGCCCTTGTGGTCGCCCTTGTGGTCGCCCTTGTCGCCCTTAAGGTCGCCCTTGCGGTCGCCCTTCTGGTCGCCCTTCTGGTCGCCCTTGGGGTCGCCCTTGCGGTCGCCCTTGTCGCCCTTAAGGTCGCCTTTGCGGTCGCCCTTCTGGTCGCCCTTCTGGTCGCCCTTCTGGTCGCCCTTAAGGTCGCCCTTGCGGTCGCCCTTGTCGCCCTTCTGGTCGCCCTTGTTGAGGTCGCCCTTGTTGAGGTCACCCTTGGTGCCCTCGCCCTTGCCCTTGGCAGCAGCACCCGTTGCACCCTTGCCCTTGGCTGCTGCAGCCTTGGCGCCTTTGCTGGCTGCAGGCTCGCCCTCCTTCTTCCCAGGCTTGCCTTTGCCCCAGGACCGCCACGAGGCTTCCTCCTCGGAGCTGGACTCCTCGTAGTTTCCTCGAGGCCCCACAGCCGCCTTGGCCTTGGGGCGCAGCTCCATGTTGTTCCTGGGCTTCTTCGAGGTGGGCTCCATGGAGTGGTCCTCGATGACCCCAGGCATGCTGCAGGTCTGGCTTCCTACGTAGGCCTATGTAGCCTACACCCTAGATCCTAAATCCGTAGCCTATAGGATAGGAGAATGTAAGCCAAACGGCATCGGTATGCAAAAACACAATTGTTGCGAGCGCACACGCACGTGCACATGTATGCATATACTGCACTGCACAGACCAACACCAATTGCGGGCAGGGCTCCCACTGGCCCGGCGCTTTCAAGTGCTTGCAGCCGAGGACATACCGCAGCGGCGAGAGCAGATCAGCCTGGGCAAGCTCTTCAAAGGACCTGACCTGTCCTATCCTACATTAGGTCTAGCTATCCTAGATCCTACCTATAGGTCTAGGAGCATAGGTCTAGCCCTAGTAGGGATGGTAGGTAGGACCTACATAGGGCCCGCTGTCTCATCGTTGCGACCAAGCGTCATCGCCCAAATCGTTGCGCAGAAGTTCCATCTCAATCCACTGCAGGCCTGTGTCAGGAAGGTCCTGGGCGATGAACTCAAAGTCAGACAGCCGCCAGGTGAGCTCCACAGGCTCACGCGGACCAGGGAGAGCCACCTGCAGCGCGACTACATAGCTCCTAGTCCTACCACCTAACTCACGAGTACTAGCCCAAGCTGCAAAGTGCAGCTTCTAGCAACTACAAACCTACCTGCTACTATAGCGCCCGCTAGCCGCCAAGAGGCATCAGACCTCGATCGAAAATTTCGCGCTATAGCTTGCCCAAATCTCTGCGGGTACTGCCTGCGAGTCACATGATCCAATCCAAATCACATCTTCATATGCAGCTGAAGCACTGGGAACGCTTCAGCTGTTGCTTCTGTCCCACAAAGCGCTTTAAGCCAGCAGAGTCCACATAGCTTCGAGTGAGCTTCGCCGACGTGACGGCTTCCTTCTCGCGCTTTGAGAGGTAGCCGCCTTCCGCAACCAGCTGCCCTACAAAGTCCTGGTCATTGCTCCAGGCGCAATGGCGCTTGGCTGACTGGGCCCCGAAGACGCCCATCCACCAGTAACCCCGCCATACCTGATGGAAAGAAAACAATAGCGGAACAAACAGCAAAAAATGTAGCAGACAAAAGCGGCGCTATAGGTGATTGAAACTGGCTGCCTGGACGCGAGCAGAAAGCCACTCAAAGCATGGCATAGTTCCCAAGCACGACTGAGCTGGCTGCTCAAGAAGCCAGCGGGTTTGCTTGTAGGACATCAGCAGCAGGAGAATGCACACACGCGCAGCAAGCTTGTTGCCTGCGGCAACAAACTCAAAGCCAACATTTCCTCGAGGGCAGCTGGCTGATCGGCCCGAAGTAGCCCGACTCCTTGACAAGGCGCGCCAACTTTGAATGCCACATTCAATCATAGGCCCTGACATTATCGTGAAGGAGTTGCAGCAAAGGGCAACTACAGCTGCAGCTCCAGGGCCCAAGGCTCGAACTGCTGCCATAGCAAGCCTGCAAGAAATTACTGGGCTCGCAATATGGCACAAATCGCAACATCACAAACTCAGCTCCGAGCACAAAACCTGAGGGCTGCAGCAAGTCCATGCAAAGCGGGTTTGCCACTATGTCGTGGCTTTCCCCGCGCAGGCCATCCTGATATGTACCGAAATCACAAGCTCATGACACATACGTGCTCGAGACTTGCGCGCTCCTGGCTCAAATGCCGCGAGACTTCACCAGCGCCAGCAAAGAGCTCCAAATACTGCAGCTGGTCCTGCGCTTGAAAAACAACGAAATCTGCAGAAGACTCACCATATATGTCCTGCTGCAGGTTGGGGATGTCCAAAAAACCCACCAGCACATAGAGCAGGATTACGCACTTCGGGGCGCGCCAAGCAAGCAAATCGCGAACAACCATCTGTAGAGACTGCCGCGCGTGGGCATGTCCTATAGCCTAAATGCTGCACACAGCCGCAACGTTGCGACCAAGTTCGCACTATACATCTAACAAGCTAGCAAATTAAGCAAGGCATTTTCTGCTCCTAGGCAAACCTACGTCGCTTGAGTTCGGAATGGGACAGCGAGGAAAGCAGCAGGGCTCGATCAGCTGAGAGGTTCCAGGCAGCTGATGCCTGTTTGAAGCTCGAACCTGCCTGCTTAGCTGCAAGGATAAAATCTTTGCGTTTCTGCGAAAAAAGCCCAGCGCTGTACATGGCATCCTGCTCACTCGGAGGCTCGGGCTGCTTGGCAGGGCTGCTTGGGGGTGCATTTTGCAAGGCCTCCGCCCTGGCTTTCGCCTTGGCTTTCGCCTTGGCTTTTGCCTTGGCTTTTGCAGCTTGCTTGCGATTTTTTTCGGCGGCATTGCGAGGAAGGTCCTCGCTGTCGCTCCCCTGCTCGCTCTTGTAGTCCGCATTTTTCCACCTGTAGCGCGCGCTATAGCTCTAGCAAATTCCAGCACTCGCAAACAACGTATGTGGCTAAGGAGCTGGGTACTAGGGAGCAGCGGCTTGGCAGCTGCAGGCAGTTCCTGCAGCTTCTTCATCGCTTCGCGGACCTAGAAAAGGAGAAATGCGTGAGCTCCAAGAAAATTAAAACAGCCCAAGAAGCCGTGTCGGTTAAAGCAGGCTCTTCTGCGCGGGTCTGGCTGCGGTGCTGCTGCAAAGCAGCGGCCAGGGACGAGGAAGAGCACTGGGCAGCTGGGGCTGCAGACTGCAGAGCAGCTGGAGTTGCTGCAGAAAAAGCTTTGCGAGGCAGGGCAGCAGCTCTCCGGCTGGCAACCAGTTTGGCTGCAATGGACCTTCTACAATACGTGCGACATTCCAGTCCATGCGCTGTATCTGAGCTCATGGCTGCTTCTCTGCAGGGCCGGGTACTGCAGGAGTTTCTTCATCTGATTCCTTCCAATCAAAGGCAGCTACCGCAGCAAGAAAGCGAGATCAGGCCCTGGCTGCCAAGCTTTCGCACCCATCATCGAGCTCATCCTCAGACAAATCCTGCGCGTACTCTGAATCTCTGCTAAAACTGAAATTCGGAAAACCGGCTTGCAAAATCAAGCATATCCTCCAGGCCCAGCTGCATGTGCGGCAATAGCTCCATCTTCAGCTCGTTGAGGGATTTATTTCTGGAGGTCTTCGCAACGCGGATCAATTTCTTGAAAGCTGTCACCTAGGCCAGCGTGAGACTAGATCCTATATAGCGTAGGCCTAATATAGTCTAGAAACATCTTGCCTAAGACCCCTACCAATTTGCGTAGAGCTTGCCCGACCCGCACAGACCAGCGCATGACCGCCTCGCAGTGCGCACTGACGCCCCGAGGAAGCTGGTCGGTGTCCTGCATAAACTTGCGCACAGCTGCAGCAAGCACATGGGCAGAGGCCCTTCGCCGCTTGGGGTCACTGCCCCGTACTGCGGCAGCTATAGCCTGAGTTCTACAAGGCAACCAGTCGAGGCACTGAGATTTGCCAAGTGGCTCGGGGATTGTGCATGACATCGGCCCGTGTTGCAGCGTGGCTGGTCTTGAGAAGCTTGCCGCTGTAGTCCACGAGCAGCTTCATGCCAACCTAGAATGTTGCCAACAAAAATTCAGCGACAAAACCGGTAACCGAACCGAGCAAACCTAATTCTTCAGCAAAGCTGCCTTTTGGAGAGCGACCTCGTTCTTGAGCTCCTGGGCTATATTCTTGATCTCGGGATCGTCAGAGCCAGCGCACGAGGCCGCCGACTTCAGCGATGCCATGGCACGCAGCAAAGCCTAGCTAGCCCTATAGCAAGCTTCCTAGCCTAACCTAGACCTAACCCCTACCCTAGGCTGAGCCAGGAAGCTGCAAGTGTTGACAACGCGCTCCAAAAATACAGCGAACGCACACGATCACTCAACTCCATAATATGGGGCACTTGACAGCCCTGCGCGGACAACGTTCTTGATCTTCGGGATCTTTCGCACACCTAGCGGCACCTGCAAGCGAGTTAGGGGCATATGCGTGCATGCATCGAAACGCGGGCCTCCCGGCGCTTCAAGACCACCCGGCTTTGCAAGCCCATGCACCTAATTTTACAGGCCTAGCTAGCACCCCTATAGCTAGCCTATGAAGGCACCCTACCCTAATTTTGCGGCTTTGAGCCGTCAAAAATGGCTGCAGCCACACATGCTTTGTTTTCACTCAGTTTGCTGCCGCACATTGCAGAACACACCTAATAGAGCAAATCTAGCTCAGTTGCTAGAGAGAAAAATCATAGTTTTCTATGTTTTCCAAACAGGCCTTAAAATTGTCATTTTTAAGGCCTGTTTGAAACAGGTCCTAAAATAGAGCCTGTTTATGTTTTTTAGAGGCGTTACTTTTAGAGTGCGTTTGGTCTTCCAGGAAAGTGTAGCGTCAGCGCCTCGGGCCATGCACATGCGCGAAGAGCGCATTGGCAACACCACGCACATCTGGCTGCTCGAGTAGGAAAAACGGCCTCTGACACGCTGCCGGCTGAAGAAATTCGTGATCGAACCCACCATGGCTGAAGAAATTGGATGCAAAGCGCGCTATAAAAAACACGTAAAACACAAACGAACATGATAATGCGCAGAAGCTGAGCAAACAAGTTAAAAAAAGTTAAGTAACTTATAAGTAACTTATAAGTTCCGCCTAACTTCCCTACAGCTAACTTTCATAAGTTCTCTATAACTAACTTATAAGTCCTTAAGTTGCCCGAGCATTCTAAGTATTCGGATTGCGAACAGCCGGGCCAATGGTCAATTGCATAGCGGAGTGCCACGATTCAGCAGCCAGCAGCAATATCGCTGCCATCTCGAATTCATCCTGCACGCCTCGGCTTCCCGCAAAAGAGATAGATGATACGTAAAACCCGTGCCTCCGGGTTATCTGCAGCAACAGCGGTCTCTGTAAACATTCGATCTTTCTCCTGGTGGGGGCTGACTCCCTGTTCTGAAATGGGCAACCGAATGATGCTCCAACCTCTGAGGAAATCTTCGTGAAATGGGTGTCTCTTTCTTGAAGGGACCCCCCCAAAAAAAAAAAACTCCTTTTGGTTTTCTTTTTAAACCACGAACAAAAGAGTACCATCAAAAAAGAGTACCATCAAAATACGACATTCCGAAAATCTCCCAAATGTAGACCACACGGGGTCCTCAGCTGAGCCGAATCCTTCTGGGTGGGAAAAAAATGAAACATGGCAGTGGCAATGTCCGAACAGCTTTGACTCCGATATAAACAGCTGGTCAACCAGTGCCTGACGAATAACAAAGCAAATGTAAATTTGGGGCCGCAGCAAGCGACTGTTTGCGTTTCGGAGCTTGGCTAAAGCTGAAAGGTTGCGGGTGTTAGAACAAGCATTTCTGGCAGGAGCTACTCCTTCATGCCAACGGGTCTCTCCAGGCTCTCCAAAAATTACACGTACCCTCACAACAAAACTCATCACCTTGACCCTTTTGGGGCCTTGCGGCCCTCGCGCGTGCAGTGACGCTATTGGGGCGAAACTGTTGGCATTCGTCATAAAGCGTGCCCTGACTTTTAGCAAATATCCTGCGATGTTGCGCCCGGAAAATCCGCCGACCCCTGCTTGCCAATAAAGGAGGCACCGGGAAGGGTGGGTTTCAAAGCATTGTTAAACTGATAATTACATCCTAGGCCGTCATCATCAGTCAATTCCCGTTTTCTCAACTGCCCGGAATGAGGGGCCCTGCTGGTGTTGTAAGGGGTATCATTGCTGTTGGTACCTTAATTTTTGCTGATGTTGCGGATGTGAAAGGACAATATGTTTGGCGTTTTTCGTCCCAGATGCTCATGGTGTTTGGTCTCCGGCATCACCTGTCGGATGCTTTCCTGCTTGCTAAACATGGCTGACACTACCTGCATCTTCATTTGAGCAAAAAAAGTGCTCACAGCGGAAAAGTGCGCGAACGCGCAAAGTTCCAAGAGATGCGCCAGGCGTTTTTGGCTGGTTTGGGTAGAGGTGCGGGGTGTATAGCCTGGACATGAACCTGTCAAGCTGTTAAAAACAACTGAGGCAAGGACCCATGCGCCTTTTCAGCTAAATGATCCAGGGAACCAGAGTGCATTTTGGCTATTTACCTGCGGTGTCGGGATAGCCTTCAACGGTGCCAAGCCAGCTTGACGGTCAAGGGAAACAATTTCAACTCCTTGAGAGTGCAAGAAATCCGAACGGCTCTTCCAAGTGGCGTAGCTTCAACTGACGACGGCGTCTGGCTCAAAACCGATCTTTTGGTTGGCAATTCGCGCTTTAGACATCTTCTGCGTACGCGCGCATGCGTGCGCACACTTTTCGTGTTTGAGCGCAATTGCGGATATTTGCGCGATAGTGCCGGATTCTTGCGCGCAAAATGCGCTGGCATGGCGCCAAAAATCGTTTCACCTATCAGCGACGTGTCTCAACAAAAAGCGTGGCGCAAGAACAGTTCTGGAGCTAACAGCGGATCCGTGTAAACCCAGGGCTTGGAGCTATTGACGGAGCCAAGCGGGGTGCCACAAACTGTCAAGGGCAAGTGATAGCTGGTACTTGCGCCGGGTGCCATGTGTGCCACAAATTGTCTGCCTAAAACAGGCTTGGGTTGAGTAAACATCAAGGGCTTCAACAAACAGCTGCGCCGGCACGCGCACGAGCAGCGCAGTATCGATTGTTTCCACAAGCAGTACCGACTTTGGCTACCAGAGTAGTTTCATCCGAAAAGTGCGCAAATTCCTCAAAAGTGCGCAAATTCCAAAAAAGCGCGCGAAGACCCCACAAAACGCACACACACACAAGCATTTGAGCAGAAAAATGTGCGCAAACGAAGATTCAGGCACATTTCTGGATAAAGCGGTCGACACCCCCAGCACCCAGAGCAGAACTGCAGCAACAACTTGGGGTTGCCCTTGCGTCCGGCTGTGGCCAACTGGCCGAACAGCTGTGTCGGATCCCCCCCCTTGGTGCGGAGGAGCAAGGCTTTGCATGGGCAGGCTGCGTGCGTGTGCGCGCGTACCGCGTGTGTGGCTGAAGGAGCAAAAAAGCCACCCGGTCCAACCCGCGAAGCTTGTTCCTCCAAATCGCCCACCATCGCGGTCAGCGACGTAAATCCATTCGGCTCCTCCCCCTTCGTTCGGGGCTGCTTGAGGGATCTGTGAAGAGCAAATGAAGAGCATCACTTGTCGGGTGCGTTTTTGGCCTTGTTTTTGTCCCGGTGATGCGGGTGATGCTGGGGATTTTGACTGGAGCTGCTTTCCACACTGCGTCCGGCAGCCTGAAAACGCCGCAAACAAACGCAGGTTCTCGCTGGCGCGCGCTCCCGTGCACGCGCGCGCGCGGGCGCGGCTGACCGCGGACCGCGTGTGTGGCTCAGTGCTGCTGGGGCCAAGCTCCGCTTCCGGAGTGGCACTACGGGGCCTGCTGGGGGGTCTGTGAAAACAAAATGAAGAGCATGAGTTTTCCGGCTTGTTCAGGTGTGAGGGTGACGCAGGTGATGCTGGGGATGTTGGTGGGAGCTGCTGGCCAGGCAGCGTGCGTGTGCGCGCGCGCGCGTGCACGTGCCACGTGGCGCGCGTGCCACGTGTGGGCTCCAGGAGCAAAAAAGCTTGGGCTCGGCCATCCAGCCCAAACCCCAGCAGCCCCCCACGAAGCTTGTTCTGTTCCAGCCTTTGCCCCCTTCCAAATCCTTGCCACCAACCCAGCCCGGCCAACAGCTCGTCAAAAGCAAAATGAAGAGCATCACCTGCATCATCTGCTTCTGTCGGGTGCGTTTTTGGGCTTGTTTTTGGGGCTGATTCTGGGTCTGCAGCCTTGGGCTTGTGAGGGTGATGCGGGGGGATGTTGCTGGCAGCTTGTGTGTGTGTGTGTGTGTGTCTCTGTGTGTGCGCGCGCACGCACGCGCCCCGCTGCGCGCGCGTGTCCTGCGTGTGCGGCTGAAGCAGAAGCAATGCTCTTGGGCTTGTAACTCGATCCAGCCTCTGCCGCTTAGCTCAGCCGCACCGACGCGGCTCTAGGCGTTGGGCTGGCTGGGCAATCGGTGTATATTTGGGCCCACAGCCAGCTTGCTCAAGCTGGGCGGGCCTTGCGTGCTTGGCTTCGATTGTCTTGCGCGACATAGCAAGGGCTAATGGATACATGAAGTTGAGCATCGCGGTGTTGTCGCGGCCGGTTGTGCGCCAGCAAGCGTAAATTCGGCCGCGGCCAACTGGCCGAACGGCTGTGCCGGGTCGCGCCCCTTAGCCTGGCTCTGAAAGACGGGGCCGCCACTGCGCCGCCGACCAGGCATGCAGACGGCTGGGAGGCTCCACGAAGACCAAATTTCGCGCTGTGCCCGCCATAAAAAGAGGCGAAGGACTTGCGGGTTTGTTTAGGTGATGTTTGACGCATCATCCGCATCCATTGATGCAGATGATGTAAGTGATGCAGGGGATGTGGAAATTGATAGACAATTGATGGGAAAGGGGGCATGTGTGGAAGGTGGGTTGGAAACTCATGGAAAATGGATGGACAATGGGTGGAAAATGGATAGACAATGAATGGATGGAAATCGCTGCCGCTTGCTTAGCTGTGCTTGCGTGAGCTGTGAAATTGAGCGTCGCGATGCTGCCGCGGCCGGTTGTGCGTCAACACTGCGTTGTGTGCCCCAAGGCTTTAGCGAGCGTCCGTAGCCCAAGCCGAAAGGTGCCGGGCTGCCACGAGCCCACGCCAAAAACAATCGACAAACTGAATTGACGCAGGTCATCCGGCGACGGCGCAGGATATGCGTTATCCACAGTTTTGCGCTTTCCAGGGCGAGCGCATTTTTTTAGCTTGCTTGCGCAGCCTGCTTCGAATCACCAGCATCAACAGCATCACCACGGTCTGGTTGTGGACTCTTGCAGATGGCTGGGCATGGCAGTGGTGCTGATGACGCAGGAGCCGCTGTTTTTTGAGGGTGCCAGGAATGCAGGCGGTACAAACAGTTGTCGGTGATGCTGGGGATGCGTGCCAGAAATGCAGGCGATGCGCGCGTGCGTGCCACGCGTGCACGTGCGTGTGCATCACGCCTTGCTAGCAATCCATGCCGCTTTGCAGGGCTGCCTAGGTTCGTTACGGCGGGAGCAAACATGATGCGTGCGCTGCTTGGCAGACAGACACAGGCGCCGACTCAGTCGCAAACACAAACACACCGAGAGTACTCCCGCCGCCTGCACGGCTGAAGCGGCCACGGGGCAGCGGGTGAGCCGCCGCATGGGCGACAAGCAGGCCCGGCCCCACTTTGGCGCTTGGGCGAGTGCTGTCAAAGGGCATTTGTTGCCTCATTGATTGGTCATTTGCGTATCAAAGTCTCCCCGCCATATCGTGCATTGTTATGGAGCGGATTCCATTCGGCTTTTGCAATGACATTTAAGATCTGTGCTTCCCTTCTGGGCCTTGAATGGAAAACGGCTTGGAGGCACAAAAAGCGCTCAGCATTTGCCCCACACGGAAGTGGGCATGGCCCGTCCACAGCTTTTCAAGTTTTTCTAGGGCTTCGCCTGGCAGCGCTGGAAGGAAAGGGTTAAGCCCACAACCCCAGCCCCAACACCCCCAAAACCAAACTAGTGCAGACGCTCAAGCATCCGGCCGCCGAGACTGCCAAACGTCCCACAATCATGACTTTTAAGGGGGGGCCTCTATTTTCAAATTTTCCACAAGCAGTTGTAAGCAAAAGGTGAACCCCGTCGCCAACTACATGACCTGCGCCTGGCGGGCGCCGGCGATGACCTGCCTTGAGTTCTTGCGCAAGGCTGGCCCCGACGGGCAGATCCAGCAGCGCTACCGCCGCATCCACAAGCACCTGCGCGTCGAGGCCCCGCTTGAAGAGTGGATCAATGTCTGCGCCGAGTCGGGGGAGGTGCTGGTGTCGCCCGTCTTCTACACGCGCCTGGGCGACGAGTACTGCGGGCAGTGGCTGTTGCTCAACGTCCCCTTCTTGGCGCTGGATGACCTGTGGCTCCGCCGCGCGCTGCGCGTGCCGGAGCGGCTGCGGTTCCTGGCGCTGCGCCTGCTGCACAAGCCTGCCTACTGGCGCAGCCCGGCCCGCGTTCGCGCCGACCTGGAGCTGGAGGCCCGGGCCGAGACCTACATCCGGAACGCGCTGGACATGCTGGCGGCCAGGATCGAGCTTGTGGACGCACTTGCTTGGGGAGCTGCGCGTGGAGGACGACCGTGTGCCCGACGCGGCCGCGGCCGCTGATGGCTTCCTGGACCCGGCGCAGCTGGCGCCCGAGCAGGAGCTGGCCCGGCGCAACGTGGTTGCCGCGGCTGCCGCGGCGGTTGCGGCCAAGTGGCCCGACGACGGCGCCGACCCGGCTGCCTGGGAGCACTGGCTGGCGGCGCAGGGCGGCCGCGCCAACCGCGTCTTCGCGGTTCTCGGGCCCGCCGGCAGCGGCAAGACGAGCGCAGTGGAGCTCGCGATCGCGCAGGCGGTCCAAGCCGGGGCACATGTTGGCGCGGCCTGCCCAACTGGCATGCTGGCTGCGCGCTACCGGCGCCGCTTCCCCGACCTGGATGTGGATACGATCCACGGGATGTTCTCCCTCTTCAAGGCGGAGCTGCAAACGCTGGAGATGATGCTCGTCTACGACCTGGTCGTCATCGACGAGGTGGGCCAGGTTCCGCTCTGGATCTTCGAGCGGTTGCTGCGCCTCTGGGACGCCGCTGGCCGGCGCCCAGCTCTGGTCTTTGTCGGGGACTTCGCCCAGCTCCGCGGCGCTGACGGGACCTGCGCGAAGCAGAGCGCGCGGTGGCGCGAGGTGGTTGTCTACCCCCTCACCCGGATGCGGCGCTGCCAGTGCCCTGCGCTCCGCTGGAAGCTCGAGCTGCTGCGCGGCGCCACGCCTTCCGGGACGCAGCTCAAAGACATCCTGCGGGGCCACCGCGCCCCGAGCGGCCTTGCGGCGGAGAACCAGGCCAACCCGACCTTGAACGATGTCCGCCAGATTCTGCGGGAGACGCCCAACACCCTGATGCTGACAATTACGCGCCGCGGCGCGGACAAGCTCAACCGCCTGGCCATTGAGGCCTTGTTCGGCGACTCCCCCGCGCTGCAGTGGCTGCCCTGCGACCCCGACGCGAACCTGGCCAACTTCCACGGGTCCTGGCAGCTGGGCGCGGAGCCGGCGTGGCTGCCGCTCCACCACGGCGCGCGGGTGACGCTCACGCGCAACTTGGACAAGGCCAACTCCTTCGTGAATGGGATGATGGCCACTGTTCGCGGGGCGCGGCAGAACGGGGTGGAAGTGTTGACGGACTCGGGGGTTGTCCTGCTGATCCACCCCTACACCCAGGACTTTGAGTTGGCGGACGGTCAAGTTGCTCGCAGCACCTTCCACCCGCTGCGCGCGGGCTACGCGACCACGCTGATGAAGATCCAGGGCGCGACTGTGGACCATGCAACCATCTGGCTGGACGCGGTCTACGTCCAGGCGGCGGCCTACGTGGCCATCAGCCGCGTCCGCAGGGATGCGGATTGGCGCTTTGTGGGCGCGGTCACCCGGCGCCACTGCGTGCCAGCCCAGGTGTGAGAGGACCGCGGGGGCGCGCGCTTTGTTTTTCCAAAAAAAAGAAGAAGCGACGCGTAGGCCGTCGGAAAGGTAAAGTTTAGGGAAGCCTAAACCCTAAAAGGCGGAGCGTGCGAAGGGCGGGGGCCGCTCTCTCGGCGCTGGGTGGGAAAATTGGGCGGGGCGGCCGTTCAGGCCCCCGCTTTCGCCCGCGCTCAATCGCTGAGCCCAAGCGGCAAGACTGCCTTGACTAAGCGCATGTCAAAGCTGCCGAAAACTTACAGCCAAACTTCTTCCACGCGCCGCCGAGCGCAAAACCCTAAACCCTAAACCCTAAACCCTAAACTTGTTTATCTATATTAATTTAAACCCTAAAGGAAATTGCGGCTAGTGAACTGAGCTTTTTCGGCGCTCCAAAACGTTGGCCCTGTCAGCCAATAAACCCTAAACTTTTTTCCGACCCTCGTTTGCTGGCAGGGCCATCATTTTGGAGCCTCTACTTGGCGAGCGGTTTTTCGTGGCCCTGTCGTGGTTTCGGGCCGCCGACCTTCAAAAACTCGTGGTTTTTTGCGATTTTCAAATCGCTAGCGCAACCCTCTGCGGACTTTGGGCTGGTCGACCTGCGAAAACTCGTGGTTTTTTGCGATTTTCAAATCGCCCGCGCGACCCTCTGCGGACTTTGGGCTGGTCGACCTTCGAAAACTCGTGGTTTTTTGCGATTTTCAAATCGCCCGCGCGACCCTCTGCGGACTTTGGGCTGGTCGACCTTCGAAAACTCGTGGTTTTTTGCGATTTTTAACACGCCCGCGCGACCCTCTGCGGACTTTGGCTGGTCAACCTTCGAAAACTCGTGCTTTTTCGCGATTTTCAAATCGCCCGCGCGACCCTCTGCGGACTTTGGGCTGGTCGACCCTCGAAAACTCGTGTTTTTTTGCGATTTTCAAATCGCCCGCGAGACCCTCTGCGGAGTTTCGCGTGGTTAAATCGCTCTCGTCGTGGCGCGGCGCTCATTGTCTTGAGGCCGTAAACCCTAAACCGTTGCCGAGCCAAGGGGATTTGCTTCAGAGCGCGCTAGATGTGAGCTCGAAGCGTTGCCGAGCCATTGGGATTGCTTCTGACACGCTTCTCAAGAACTTCTCACTGAGCGCTCACGCGCGGGCTCAACTTTTTTCGTTGAACTTCTGCTATCAAACTTTCAACTTAAAAACTTTGCTTTCGAAGCATTTCTCACGCAAATCCGAGATCCCGTAGCCGATGGTTCGCGACTGAGAAACGCGCCTCTTTCGCCGCGACGATCTTAAATTTGTCGCGAAAGGTTTGGCTGCCCAATGAAATGGGAGCTTGGGTGGGTGGTGTTTTCAACCAGCAACTGTGGATGAAGCGCTCCTTGTGATTTGCTATCCTGGAATTTGGATTGACCCTAAACCCTAAGCCCTAAACCCTAAACCCTAAACCCTAAACCCTAAACCCTAAACCCTAAACCCTAAACAGGCGAGCACGCCTCTGGCCATATACATGGGCATGCGAGCCTTCGGGCTCGAGGTCAAGCCGAGACGCCAGTGCGAACCTGAGGGCCTGCTAGGGTCAAGCCTAGCAGGACAACCGCTGTGCGGCTCTGCAAGTGGCACGACGACCCACACCCTCTGGCGCAGCCAGTATAGGATTACCCTAAACCGTGCACCATGTGCATGTGGGGGTGGTTTAGTGCACTGTTGATAACTTTTGCATACGGGTAATAGCGGGAACCTGCCCCGGCTGGGGGGGGGTACACGCCGCGCAAAAGGATTTTTTGTAGGTCGCTTCTTGCACTGCTGATAACTTTTGCATACGGGTAAGGAGCACGCGGCCCGAAACGCACGCGTGTCAAGCGCAAAAGCTAGGCTTTTCTCTTCGTCTGCTTCAGCGGTGCAGCAGTCCGCGCGAGCGCGCGGCCCGACGCCCGAAACGGCTCGCTAGCTCGGCCCCGCGCTCTCGCGCGCGGCCCGAAACGGCACACCCGCAGCACGATACTGTTTCTCCGGCGGCCCTGTCTGGAATGGCCGGCTTGCCTCGCCTGGCCTCGCCAGTGCGCAAAAGCGAGACCATGTCTTGGCACTGCAGCTGTCGCAGTTCTGCGGCGTTTGCCGCCAGGTAGGTCAACAGGACCTGAAAGCGGTCCTCACTCATGTTGCTGTCATCGCGATCCATGGCGCGAGCAGCCGGTTGCAACGCCAAGCTGCCCTGAGTAGCGGGTGCGCAAGCGGCCGGCCGAAGCACCAACCTCTGAAAAAAAGTCGTATGCGTTGTTGATTTTCTGAGTAGTCTGTAAAAAGTCCCCCTGAGGGGAAACACGGGCGCCACTAATACTGCTTACAGACTGTGACTCTCTGCACAAACAGAACAACACAAAACAACATCCCTTGGAGCGCTTGACTGACTGTGGGGTTGAGTAAAGTGTGACAAGTTGCGTGGTCAAGTGTGAGGTGTGCCAAATGCCCAAGTCACGAAAGTAACTACATTTGAGCCACGTAAAGGACACCCGTGTCTTTCTGCGGCTTCCTGCACTTGGCTGCGAAAGTGGACTTCGTGTACTACTTTCGTACTTAAAAGTTGCGATTTTCGAGCCCCAGCTGTGAAAGTGGACTTCGCGTACTACTTTCGCACTTAAAAATTGCGATTTTCAAGCCCCGGCTGCGAAAGTAGACTTCGCGTTCTACTTTCGTACTTAAAAGTTGCGATTTGCAAGCCCCAGCTGCGAAAGTGGACTTCACGTACTACTTTCGTACTTAAAAGTTGCGATTTTCGAGCCACGAAATCTGTATTTGACCTTGCGAAAGCGCTGCGCCTGCCACGAAATCTATACTTGACCTTGGCCACGAAATCTATATTTGACCTTGCAAAAGTGCTGCGCCTGCCACGAAATCTGCACTTGACCTTGCGAAAACGCTGCGCCTGCCACAAAATCTGTACTTGACCTTACGAAAGTGCTGCGCCTGCCACGAAATCCATACTCGACCTTGCGAAAGTGCTGCGCCTGCCACGAAATCTATACTTGACCTTGCGAAAGTGCTGCGCCTGCCACGAAATCTATAATTGACCTTGCGAAAGTGCTGCGCCTGCCACGAAATCTACACTTGACCTTGGGAAAGTGCTGCGCCTGCCACGAAATCTACACTTGACCTTGCGAAAGTGCTGCGCCTGCCACGAAATCTATACTTGACCTTGCGAAAGTGCTGCGCCTGCCACGAAATCTACACTTGACCTTGGGAAAGTGCTGCGCCTGCCACGAAATCTACACTTCACCTTGCGAAAGTGCTGCGCCTGCCACGAAATCTATACTTGACCTTGCGAAAGTGCTGCGCCTGTCACGAAATCTACACTTGACCTTGCGAAAGTGCTGCGCCTGCCACGCAATTCAAACCTTGCGAAACCTTCGCGCGGCCGTGCC